AGCAATACCGAAGGATATGGCAACTCATCGACAGCGGTGCTGTCTTGTCATTTTATGTCAGGTCAGAATGCTTGAAAAAGTTAGATTTTGCACTTTGTATTGTCCATTGAGGTTCAATCTCCCCCGCCCTCCAATTAGGCCCAATTCCTCTCCATTTTTGCACTTTATTATTTAGTTTGTGCACATTGTGAACTTGGCAGCAATCAGCGAAGCTCGCTTCATTATCTCGCTGTACGGTGATGATGCTTGATAAAGACGATTATGCCATCCTTAGTTCAACGACCTGCTCTCTGATTCCTGACCTTCACTTTTTGTTAATAATATCTCCGACAATCAGTTTNCACCATGAATTTCTGCTCTGAGGCGCTGGTAACTGTCTTCAATAAATATACAATTTTCACCGCAGTGTTACTCGGCGTCAATCAGAATGCCTGTGTCGCACGGACAATGGAATCTATTAGTTTATGCCATCGAGACGCATATCCGTGACCCTCGAAATCGCGACTATTATTATCATCATCTTGATGCTATCGTTGCTTGAATTTGCTTTCAACATTCCAATCTTCATTCTGCTCTTTCATCCAAATGGGGCACCGAAAGACAGCAACCAAAACCGGTGCACGAAAGTGCATGGTTAATGATTGTAAAAGCTGAACTGCCGTCGGTACGATTCCATGTCCAAAACCGCCGTCCAAGGCATTTTTGAATCCCAACCTAGAATGCGGGAGACGTCTACTTTAAAATGAGTAGGTGTGGTGCGCCGGACAATGTGCAATATGTTTAATAAACAGGAAACCCTAATTCGATGAAATGTTGAATTGCCTATCCAGTTATTCACAAACTCAGCGTTGCTAGCCCACTCGCTCCATTCCCCCTGCACTAAACTACGTAAACGTCGACAATCTAAAACCTCAGACCAATAAATGTGTTCCACACACATGCGTAAGTTTTCACAACTGTCAGGCAGAACTGACTGTAAAGTCGTTTGGTGCACGCAACTTTACAAATTCAAGGGAACTAAGTCGGTGCCAGAGACGTTTCAGTTCTGCGTAAGTCGCTCAAGCCTTTCGAGTGCGGGCGGTGACCTTCGATATGCTATACTGACAACCGCCTAAGTAAAGGAACATTTACCTGAGTTAAATCTTGGCCATCAAGCACCGACGTGCAGGTAGATACGATAGGTCTGTAGTGTCATTTCGTAATCTGAATATTCTAACCATACCAGTTCGGTTCTCGGATGTGACTGCAGGGCATCTAAACATTCAAAGATGGTCAAAACCAGTCACATTACGAATCTCACAGGTTTCCACCTTCCACCCAAGGTAAACATTTTGGAAACACTCCAGGACATTCTCCTCTGTTTCGTCCATGAAGAAATTGAAGAAGTATGGTGAAATAGTTCATCCCATCACGACGAGACTGCACCTTGACGTGGTATGATGGCTTGTACACCTCTATGACCCAACGAGTTACACAGGATAGCTTTCCTCAAGCCAGATGATCTTATCATGTTTGGAAGGTCCATGGGTAGAGGTCAGACGAAGTCCAGTCTCCTGGTCCTCCAGGTTGGGGTTCGACCGGAATTTCGTTACAGTCGGTAAAAATGGCGGAGGAGTAATCGATCCAAGTAAATGGACCTCCACTACGCTTCACCCGCTGCCTTGCTTTTAGGTTCTTGTCAGAACTAAAGGCTTTTGACGAGAATCCCAATCGTTCTCCTGTTTAACGGATGGACACCCTGGCAGTACCCGTCCATCACACCCCAGTGGATGCACATAATAACAATAATTGCATACTGCATTGGTCGTCGCACAGGACAATCAGGACCGCGCTGCCTGCTGCATCGAGCGGGATGGGAAGTGATAAGTGGGCTACTGCTCAGATTACCCAACCTTTGTTTAATTCTGTCTTCAGAACCCAGCCTTCTCCATTTGCCCCTCCCAACCTCTAATAGTCCCTCAGGCAACTTGGATGTCGCTCGCCCGAGGTCGTTGCCAAATAGCACTAAGTATTGTACCACGAAGTGAATTGCAGATTTTAAAGCCTCGTCAACCACTGAATTTGGGGACCTTCAACCTGAGGACTTTGACGCAGGCAGGCCAACAAGCTTGTCTGGCTCGTACAATGAATTCCCTAGGGATCAATATCTGCTGCGTGTCGGAAACTCAAATCCAGGATCCTACTAATATGAGCAACTTAAGCGCGCCAGATTTGTCTTCAAGATACGTTCTTCGCACATCAGGCAACGGTGAAGCTCGTTCAGTAGGTCAGCGCTGGGTAGGTAGTGTACTCAACAGCCTGGCGGAGTCCTCTCTCATCGACTGTATCCCCGTCAACAGTCGTTTATGTGCATTGCGTCTCCAGGGTTCAATCAGCGTCCGGAAAGAAAGGAACACCAAAAGGTGTTTGTTCATCGTATCGCCATAGGCACCAACCAATTTCATTTCTGATACCTAAAGGAACGTCTTCTACGATAAACTCATCAATCTCATGCGAGTGAGTCGAAGCTCCAACATAGTTGTACTTACAAGTGACTTTAACGTGCAGGTTAGAAAACTGGGCGCATCAGAAGCTTGCCTAGGTGGTAGTTATGCTCTGTCCTGCAACTAAAAGATAACGGTGATCGACTTCTTCAGCTTTGCGCGAAGGTCGGCGAACCCGTTAGTGAAACAGTCTGCGATAAGAGGGGACGAGCTATTCACAATATAGATCAACGACTTGATCGCTGGGCAGAATACTTCAACGAACCGTTCAGCTGGTCTAGTGCTNTTCAGCTTTGCGCGAAGGTCGGCGAACCCGTTAGTGAAACAGTCTGCGATAAGAGGGGACGAGCTATTCACAATAGGGATGAACGATTTGATCGCTGGGCAGAATACTTCAGCGAACAGTTCAGCTGGCCTGGCGCTAACCGGATTGCTTCATCCGCAACTGAAGTCCCTTGGGCAGTGTCGTGCGATCCTCCAAAGGCAGCAGAAGTTCGGTCTTGCTCTCAAGCTCTGAAGCTAGGAAAGGCAACAGGACCGAATGAGCTCCCTCCCACTCCTTTCAAGATGGGGATGATAACCCTGTTAACTGTATTGCTACCTTACTGCGCAACATTTGGACACAAGAGCGCATTCCTTCATCTTGGGGCGAATCACTGATGGTTCCCACTTTCATGAAAGGATCTCGCAACGATCGCGAAAACCACCGCGGCATCAGTTTGATCACGATCATCACCAAAGTGCTAGCCTCGATCATACTTCGCGTCTGACTTCTTTAGGAGAGATGAACATTCGTGAACATCAAGCCGGATTCCGGTTTGGCCATGGATGTATTGATCAAAGTTCAACGTTACGTCAGGTTTTTGAGCTACGTCAAAACCACCGTCGGTCAACGATCGCAGTGTTTCTTGTCCTGAAAGGAGCCTTCGACTCAGTTGGCCGCGTACCTCTGATGGGTTCCTTTTTTATAAAAGGAATGCCCCAGAAGTACGCTACCTACTGAGGTGACTGTATTCACATACCTCTGGTCGTGTAAGGGTCTGTGATGAACTGAGTAGGCCATTCGTCACCCGCAGCGGCGTACGCCAAGGGTGCCTTCTTTCGCCGTTCCTGTTCAATTTCGTCGTAGACGAAGTGG